TTTTTGCAAGAGATTGGTTATAATGGAACCAAAGGGAAAACTGAGGAGCCCAGTATTTTAGGGAATAGCAAAGCATTAAAGAAGCAAGCCAGAAGAGACTGTTATACTTAGGCATGAAAGTCATTGCACAGTCTTCATTGAATAGAAATGGTCAGTTCTTGCTGCAAATTGATTTTACAAATATATTTTCATGAATTTTTTTCCATGCTTTTATCTTGGTTTGAGAAGCCTTTCTTGTCTGAAATGACATGTTTATTTCTGTATTTTTATATTTTTCGTAGTTTTTTATTATAGACAATTATTGAATCTGGGATTCAAACTTGTATGTGACAGCCAAGGATGCTGCTCTTTTTTGATAAACTCCATCTATTTTTACTGCGTTAGAAATTGAACCTTCACTCTGATGTCAACTGGACTGACTTTATCACACAGAATTTCCAATTTGTTGGAGTTTCTGTCAACTTATGTCAATCTTTGAGAAGAATATGACCCTGAGTTCCCATCCCTTGTAGTGCTGGCTATTTCCTATGAAAGATCACTTTGAATAATACCTTTGTAAAAAGCCAGTCCCTCAATTAGCACTGTAAACAAATACACCATGTCAGAAATCCCCTTTCAGTGCGTTCTGCTAATCTTTAGAAAAACTTGATTTTGGAAACTCTAGACAGGTCATTGTAAATCACCACCTTTGAAGACATAAGGTAATGCTTTCTTTTTACTAAGCACACTTGCAAAGCTGCACACAGACATTTTCCAGAACTCTGAACAACTCAGTCTCCCAGTAAGAAGAAAAATGGTTTGCTTAAACACCTGTATGGAAAGTCATATCTAATCTTTTATGTTCACTATTGGAGAGTGCTCAGGTCAATCAACAGTCAATAGAAGGCAGTGGTAACTCTTATTTTCTATTTTATTTTACAGTCAAGGTTGAGTATTTGTTTTTGAAAGATTGGAGGAGCTGGTTGGCAGTGCCAGGGAACCGGATTCTTTTTATCTGCATGCTTGTTATGAGGAGGAGGCAGGTGCAAAGCAAGCTTTCTAACCCTGTCGGCAGCAATAATCCCCACCTGAGCATTGACCAGCCACCTGCTCTTCAGGCACAGAGATAATTCAGTCTCGAAGTTAGCAGGGTTCTAAGTTGCTGCTGAATAAAGACTCATAAATGATTCAAATTACAGTAAGATAGTGGCTTTGTCAATATATCAATATTTGATCACTGGCAGTGATTCCTTCTGGATTCACCCCAAGGCATGCACTGAACTTGAAATGGCCTAACCAGATTTAGTGCACCCGCAATTTATGGAGGACCTATTCCAAGCCCTGCTGAAGACTGCACAACTTCCCAATAACCTTCATGCCACCAACTACCCAGCTGACTCTTAGAGCCCAGGTATCCTAAAGACTGATGAACTGTTGTTCTTATATTTCAATCAATGGTCAAAATCTAATAGCACTTCATCCAGACCTTGGGCCTCTTTTATAGTCAGATTTATCATGTCTACAGGAGAGTGTTTTCCCCCATATAGCAATACCTCCATCCTAAAATGCACAGTGTGAGCTGATTGCTAAAGGGCACACACAAAAAAAAAGGAAAAGAAAATATAGAGATGTGCAGAGACAGGTTTGTTAGGAGGCACTGGGGATACTTTTATTTAGGAAAAAAAAAAAAGATGAGGCTTTGCCTCATTCTTCTGTTATCTAAATTGCTCCGCTTGTAAATAACAATTCACTACATGTCAAACATTTGCATGAGCCAGTACCATAACATTCCTTGCTCCCCTGTCCTGATATGTAGCCATTCTTCTCCACTGACTCAGGTATCAGAAAAGTGAGGCCTGATATGTTTTAAAGCTGTATGTTGCAGGGGTCCCAGAGACACCCCAAGGAAACTGTCCATGGCAGAGAACCCCTGCAGAAACACAACCCCCCTGGGTAACCAACCCGCTTTGTTATCTTTCAGGGGAACATGCCACGTGCCATCAAGAGACCTGCCTGCTAAATCCCCATTTACATCACTCGCACCTCTCTCCCTGACCTGCGAGTGCAGTTATCCCTGGGCTGAAAGCAGGAACTGGAGAGCACTCGCCCCTGGGCCCCAGAGCCAGCTTCAAACCTGCGGTGAGGCTTGGAGGAAGGCACGCGGAGGAAAGATTTCCCAGTAAGCACCACTTTAGCACACGGTTAAGAAGGAGGGAGAGAAATTTGAGGCTACCTTTGCAACTATGCCAGATGAAAATGAAATAAAGGCACTGTCTCTCTCAAGTCTGCAAGCAGCAAACTTGTCCGTCAGCAACATACTAAAAATTAGAGTGTCACTCAGTTGATCATTGCTGGCTCCTTACTCAGGCGCCCTCCACAAACCCTGCCAGAGTCTCCAGCCCAAACCATCAGATGGCAGAGAATGGCTTTTTTTTTTTTTGCCTCCTCCCCCCCCCAAAAAAAATCTGCCAAGATTCACAACCCACTTACGGAATTACAGGTGGAGCAGGGAGTTACCACCACCACCACCTTTCACTTGCACGTTTGGCTTTTTCTTTGGCTCACACTGATCTTCAAATGAGCTGGGATGAGCTGCCACCACAGCACATCTGGCCAGAGAAGGCAGAGGCTGGAGGAAATGGAAAAAAATTGGAGAGAAGAAAACGGAGGGATCTGGTAGAAACTGATGAGGTATGTGCTGCTGGTGAAAGGTGGACTTGCATGAAATTAGGAAGGTTTTTCATGCTCTTTCAGTCCGCAATGCAAAAAGATTCTTACCATTTAAATAGAGTCTTTAATTTTTAAAAATTTCATCAAAATGATATTTATTCCAAACCCCCTTTTCAGGGAAAGAAAAATGCCAGTGACTTTTCTTGTGACAGAGTCGTAAGAGCTTTTGAAATGATCTCCTACTACGTGTACCCGCCTCCAAACCTCACAAAAATGTTGAAAAGACCAAAACAAGATCATTTAAAGTGCTCTAACAAGACAGCAGAAAACAAAACCAGGGTCTAATTTTTCCTAGAAGCTGTAGAAATGAATAATTGTTAAATCTGTAACTGCCACTGGTCAGCACACTGCATGTTTCTGTGTGCCTCCTTGCTTATTCACATTGTATGTTCCTTTAGCCAGGGTTTGTCTTTCATTTTGTACATAGAAGACATCTCTTCAAAACAAGAGCTGTCCATGGACAATTGAAGATATGAAAACAATAGAAGTACAGGAAATTGCAGCAATGATGTAGCTTACATCATTCCTTAATCAGGAACTAGGCCAAAAGTGGTTTTGTATATTAGGAAGAAAAAAGAAGGAAAAAAAAGGAAGGAAAAAAAGCAAACAGCATGCAGAGAAGAACTATATACTTAGAATGAAATAGGCACAGTTACTTCGTGCTGGATTTATTTCAGCACAACATAATAGCTTTCCACAATGTGCTTTAGATGGAATTCCCAGGTGACTTGCTGTTGTATTTAAATATGGCCTGCCTAGGATTTAAATAAACAGCTTTTATATTAATTAGAAACAAATCCTCTCAATTGGAAGGTATTAACTGTTTCTGAAGTGCACATAACCATTATTCAGACTTGGAGTCAATTACACGCTTTTAAATTTGTGAGACATTTGTAATCAAATATGCTACAATTGTGGCTTAGAACAATGCAGTAAAACATTGATTCAACTGTTTTCACCTTTTATTGATCAGCATAACATGTAATTAAGTCAGTGCATAACTTTTCTTAGAGCCACGATTCACTTATTGCTACTGCACCAGCCTAGGCACATATTTAAAGCCTAAACCTAGGAAAATTATGTTTTATGCATATTTTGCAATAATACATATGCCAATTATGTATTTGCTGGTTTCCACTACAGTATAGTCAAAGACACCTAATACCATGCAAGTAAGGTCTGAATATAGACTGCCAGTCTCTTCACTGGTGAAGTACATTGATTTCCCCATCTGAGCATCTGACTTGGATGCTTCACATTACACTGAAAGCAAAATCCTTGTAAAAGCACCTGTGGCTGCCACAAAAATGCAGCAGGCATCAGTAGATGCACCTGAGACTGTCAATGCAACACTCCCACTGAAGGCAGAGAAAAGCTGGCTTTTTAAAACCATGGGGATATTTAGTGGCTCTAAAGTTGTTAGACCCACAGCATCAACCTTTTCCATAAGATAAGAGCCTTGCCTGGCTCCAGAGAACACCACTCAGCTTTCTTAGTTTTGACCCCATTAGGTAAATCCACATCTCTTTTGTGGCTGACTACCCTAAACAAGATGTTGTTTATCTCAGTTTACCTCACACCATTCAAAAAAAAAAAATCTAAACAGATTCTCAAAATGTTTGTGATCAGATTGAATAGGCAAAATTAATCCTTTATGCTTTCAGTCTGTTTTTCACTAATTAGTGGAAACCCAACCTGACAATACTCAATATCACAGTCACCAGACTAAGAGTGCATTGCTGAGATAAATGAGAAGAAGGAAGATGTCAGTTCCTGCCATTATCATTCTCCGTACAATAGCTTTTTGTTTGTTTGTTTGAATATATATGATAATGGCAGACAATGGATTTTCTTTTTAAGCCCAGGATATTTCCATGAAGTCATGTAAATAAAATATAGAGACTAAGAACAATTGTGGTTGTCAGGCATTTCTGAAAATCTCCGCAGCCCTGTATAAACTGCTCCCTTTTTTGCTACCAGCTCAATGCCTTCAGATTCCAGTACGTTTAATTTCTGGCTATATTTTTCAGAAGTACCAGTGCACAAATCCTTCTTCTAGGGGCACCTTTCTCTCTGAAAAGGCACATTTACACAGAGTCAACGTTAACCCAGATGTCAGCAGCGGAGCCCCTATCAGACATGCTCCCGCAGGACACCACAGCAAGAGGAACGCGTTGCAGCTTAGCTTTGGCTGTATTTAAGGTGCTTGACTGACTAGAATCTCTCCTATTCCTTACAGCCTCTATAATTACCACACCACTACCACAATGGGTTTTAGAGGAACACGTTACCTCAGAAATCTTCAAAAGGTTCTGGTTTTCCTCCTATTCACGTTCGGGTAGTTTGTCACATTGTTCTAGAATCATCCAGCCGTTGGCAGTGACAAAATAACGCATATGAGAGAAAGAGGGGCAGGTAGGTTGGGAAATCCAGGATATCCAGCTACCAGATGTGTCGTCGCTTCCTCGTCTTCTTCACTTATCCCTCCTGCTTTCAGCTCTACTAAAAATTGCTCCAGTGCGATGCTGTGGGATAGAGAATCAACGTTGCACAAAAATAAGTGCTGGAAAATGAGGAGGTTATTAGTCTTATTTAGCAGTTTCTGCTCAGCTTTGGCCATTTCTGAATGTGTAATTTCCATTAATCATGTCAGTTTTTTGTGAGGCTGTCTTGATGTGCATCACAGCTCACACCCAGCATGGCACAGACCATTTGGGAGGGCCATTTTTATCCATTCAATCCTGAGGGTAGCCAAGGGCGAGACGATCCCCCAGCACCAGATAGAGCAGCCACAGGCCTGTTCTAATTTATTCTTTGGTGATGCAAACTGCCCAGACCAGGACACGGTGGGATAAAAGTCTGTATCCAAATGCAACTCAGTGTTCTGCTCCCACTGAAGGGGTACAAAAACACACACCTTTCAGCATCTGAACTTCAGGTAGCATTAAAAAATAACTTTAATGCCCCTCTGGGCATAAAGAGGAGTATGTGTGGTGGGGAAGGAAGACAGCATTTTCCCATACTTTGCAGAAGTGCTGTTGTTAAATTGTGCAGAACAGAAGAAAAACTGATAGGAAGATGCTACTGAGGACAGATGGCAGGAAAGAAAGGAGTGACAGGAGCAGGACCTGTAGACTGTCCCTAAGTCTACAGAGGAGAATGGCTGAGGTGCAGGCAACTACAGTACTTCCAGCAAGATATTTTGACCATCCTATACCAGCTCACATGGGAGGATAACAGCATACTGAAAAGGTCTTATAAAGCATAAGCAAACCCCTTCATCTGTGAATTGCTTCTGGAAAGAGGAGGGTTCCCCACCCTGCTGTCTCCATGTAACACAATCTCCTGTATCTCCTTAGGTCTCTAATGTACAGTGCAGTAAAATGCTACAGTTTATCCTGAGTCACATAATCTGACTGGGTAATTAAAAGCCCTTTAGACAAAGTCCACTTTGCTGTTACCCACAGCGTAGGTAAAAGGCACTTGCTGAGGATCCGGAAGTATTTGGGGTCTGACAGCATGAAGCCAGCAGCAGAAGGTAGCTATGGGGGAAGGTCATTTGTTTCCCTCATCTTTCCGCTGCTGGGTATATGCTTAGGAGGCACTGGAAATTGTGAATAGCATCTGAAAAACAAGTCACAAGAAGAGAGTCAAAGAAACCCTATGGGGCCAGAATTTCAAATGGACTTCAGCCCAGCTGCTAATATGCAGGGAGTGTGAGTGTGTGCACCCCAATCTCTGGCTATGGACATGAGCAGACCTTTTGCTTAAACAAATCCACTTGCTCTGTGTCTCAGATACTGAGTTTATGAGCACAGTTTTCTGGCTAATGCTTTCAGAGGATGTCACCAAAATACTCGCTTAAGGTCTGGTGGTCATCCTAACAACATCCTGATCCTGTGCTCAACCTAAGAAACCACATAGCAACATTTCATAACATTTTTTTTCCTCTCTCTATAGTGCAGGTAATGTTAAAAATGTGTTAAAAGAAAACCTGTATCATCTCTCTACATTCACCGTCTATCCTTGTTGCCACACCGAGTGACCCGTACAAAACCAAGCAAAGAGAAGCTGAGCTTGTTTTGAGAGACAGCTAAGCAAGGGCAGCTAACGCATGGGTACACACTGCAACATCTCTCTGCTCCCCTACCAGCTCCAGCCTTGTGTGTCAGCAGGGGACTGAAACCGATGAGACCATTACGCTCAAAAAGAGCACGGGATCTCATAGCTAAGTAGGGACAAGCTTAGGCAATACTTGAGCTGACCTCTCCCCCATGCAGAGTTCAGTCCCTCCAAATTAAGGTTGAGAGTCACTGATGAGGCTGGAGGAGGAAGTTGACACTGCAGGTGCAGGACTGCATTTGAGATGGATTAAAAAAAAAGAAAGAAAGAAAAAAAAAGAAAATTGCATTTCACTTCCCGTTTCTGCTGTACAGTCTCTTCTGCAGCAAGTATGTGAGCATAAATAAGCATGGAGGCAGGGGGAATAAACAAGGGTAAGGTGGAATGCTTTTATCCATTTTAGAAAACTTTTCTGGAAAGCAAATACAACCTGTCAGTAAGCAGATGAACACCTCACCAGGCCAGGCAATGAAGCTGAACTCCCAAAGCAAATTTCCTCAGTGTCCCCATTGTCCTTTGGTTCATGCCTTCAGAGCCCGGTATGGGAAAGTACAGTATTTCAGGCCATTTTCAGATAAAGACTGGCCCAATGAGTCCTTACTGTAGCCCCATGGACTCCCAGTCTGCTGTTCTCATCTTCTGCTGCTTTCAGGGCCCTCAGCCACCCCACTGCATTGACCCCTTGGCAGAGTGGAGGAGTACATTTGTTATGACATTATTATTTTAAGGACCGTGCCTAGTGGTTGCAAATCATATTGCCTAAGGTTAGAAGACACAAACTATAAGAGACAAGCACCACATGGCTCGGCCTGGCACAGCTCCTAGGAGAACCAGGCTCACACGTTACCTGTGTATCTGGCACAAGGTGTCACAAGCCTCCGCAGAGATGATTGCCAAATTGCTAGTGACTCGGACCCATAGTCAGCCACCTTTCCCCTGGGCACAGGGAACAGCCCTGTGAACAACAGCCTCGGTCCTAGAGAGCTAAGTAGACAAGATAAAGGGTGCAAGGAAGGAGGTGTCCCTACATAGCAGACTGAGCCACAGAGATACGGAGATCAGTCTGCACTGTTGAATTTGGATCTAGGAGACATACTCTTGTTCTCATAGAAAACCTATAGTAAATTCAGGAGTGATGAGGCAGGCTAGGGTTTTTATCACCCATTTTCAAACAGCTGATCATGCGCAGGGGGGATAACCTGTCATCTGGCTAATCCCCATAAGGTTTGACCTTCAGTACCTCAGCTCCAGCCAGCAGTGAGAGGTAAAAGAAGATTAAGACTAGAATGCAGCTATTTCTATATTTTATCCCTTTTAAAATGAATACAGAATGGGCAAGGATGGAAGGGACCTCTGGAGACCATCTAGTCCAAGCACTGGCAAGAAATTTTAAAATTCTTTCAAATGGCTCCAGAAAAAGCTTTTAAATAAGGAACAGTTACTGAAAAACCCAAACAAATAAACAAACAAACAAGCTCGCAACAAAACAAAGCAAAGTCAAGCCAACCTATCTCCTTTGTATCCTTCCTCCCTTGGTACGGAAGTGTGAAAACTTTACTTCACCCAGGGATTTGAAAACCAAACCCCTCTAGGCATGCAGGGTATTTCCCATGCACTGTGAACAGGAGCAGGCTGTGGTTCAAAGTAGATCACAGAAAGGATAATAAGAGCCTTCACTTTGTCGACACTGCTGGCAGTGCACATCACCATGGCCCCCACATGTCAGGGTACATCCCAGCTGTGTGTCTTTGCATTGTCTAGCTCTTTTGTAGCAAGTGCACTGCCTGCCGCAAGGGCAACGCAGCATAATGATACCTCCATTGCGCTTTCCTAGCAGCTTGGACTCCTTACATTTTGTGCCATACAAGGCAACTTGGGAGCCATCACTTTTGTTCTTCTGTTTACTCTCTTCTACTTCAAAATTAAGCAACTGTTCCTCTTTTCCAAGGATCCATTTCTCCATTAACCATATTTTCCAGGGCTCTCAAAATAATAATAGCTAAGGTTTTTTGCTTTTGGAAGTCTTTCTCCTCCTAGGTCTACTGAGTCAGTCCTATGAATGCACTAATCCAAAATCAGCAAGGCCTGTGGGCCAGACCCTTTGCTGACGGACGTCTGTGGAGGTCCACAAAGAACCACTGATCTGTGTCCGCTAGCAATCTGGCCCATACAGAATGAGCAAAAAAAAATTTTTTTCAAAGAAATTGCAGATAAAACTGTAAACGACCTTCTCAGCCTTACAACAAACTTTATTTTGCCAGCCTCCTCGCCCTGAGTCAAACACGCCCACAAAACACAGCCCTCCACACGTTGCCAAAGGAAGGAAGCACTGTGCTGGCAGATGAGCAGGAGTCCCCCGTCTGCATCTCCCTCACCCATGTGCAGATTCTCTGTTGTTAACAGTATAATTGTGCTCTGGTTTCAGGCTTTCTTGTAGTAAGAGGCATTCATTTGGCTGCTTCTCCTCTACCCAGCAGCTGAGTGTGAAAGTTAGGCAGAGAGTCCTAGAGCCAGCTTACCCATGCGTCACTTCCTAGAGGACCAGGCAAAAAAGAAGGAACATAAAAGAAGGTTCTTCTTTTTAGAAAAAAGATGCCTTGCCGTACCCAGGCATCAAACTTCAGCAGAAGGTAGGTAGGCAGAAATACCTCACTTGGAGAGCTCTGCTGTTAGCCATATTTAATTAAAGACTGGCTTATCTTAGATATCCCAGCTGATCCCAAGTACTGCAGTATGACACAGGAAGTATGAAACCTCACAGAGGGCTTGGACTGCAGTAATGTGAAAAATTCACTTATTGCAAACGGTCCTGAGAACTGTACAGCTAGAATTTCCTGGCATTTTCAAATGAAACACTTGCCCATCAAGCAATACAGTCGCTGCCAAATGAAACTGAGTTCACTGAACTGAAAAAAAAAAGAGAAAGAAATAGTTTGTTTTGATAATACGTTTGTTTCAGTAAAGGTGTTCCAAGTCATAAGGAAGTACAATTTACACAGATATATCCACAGAAATGTTAAAGTTACTTACAGGAAATGAATTCTATGTTCTGAGTTTCTCTAAACCAAGACCTGATTTTGGATGTCCTGTCTTGGCCCTGTTAAGACACAAGCAAAACAAAACAGCATTGGTCAGTTACCATCATCAAATCAATGCCACCACCTTAAATTCAAATAGAAACCTAATCTGATCCACCGTCGAGCCTACTGTATGTTATCTCACAGCTCTTTCTGGAACAGGAAAGTGTCAATCCTCCTCAGCAATGGCTGGAGGACTCTAAGCATGTCAGCTGAAGAAGTAGGATCAAAACGACAATCAGAAGGGTGACAGGTCTTGCTGGGATGACAGGCAGGGCACGCATGTGGAGCGAGCACATACATGTGTACTCCGCTGCCCCTAAACTCCCTGCTGTCCCCATTCTTGTGAGCCAGCGGGAGACCGAGCCTGCTGAGAGCACTGACTTGTGCAATTTCAATGCCCTTTAGTGATGCACAAGAACAGAGCCGACAGGAGAGCGCAGGGGATGGGGCATCAGAAGGCTGCTGTTTATTTGCATACTCATGAAACCACTAACCCAGCATGGTTTGCTCACACCACATGATTTAGGGACGAGCAATTTAAGACTTTAAGCTAACCATTCTTTATACCAACTATTCTCAGGAGTTCTCTTTTCAAGGACCACCTCCCTTTAATTAACAAAGCAAAGCCATAGATGCACTGTAGAGGCCTCCAAGGTCTTGCTTAGAAATCCTGCAATAGTGCATGTGTTGGGGGAAACATCAACATGTCATCTCAGACCTGTCACACTCCCCCTTACTCACCCACTCAGAGCTTCTACAACCTTTCAAGGCATCCATGGGTGCAGTTACCTGGATGTTTCCCTCACACACAGGGCAAACAATAGGCAAAAATATGCTGTTCTCAGCGTGGCCCAACAGATGGAGGTAATGCAGAAATACGCAAGAGGGGCCACTTTCCCCAGGAACCAAAATCCCTAAAGTCCTGCTTCCTCCCACTTCAAAACTTTCCCAAAGTGATCACACAAGAGAGAGCTTTCCATGAGGAAGACCCAGCTTGCCCCCACCCCCCCATTCCTTTAACTGTCCTCATCCAAATCCTTAACCCTGGACACTTCAGTACTTGACAAGTTACAGTAAATACTGAAACACATCTCTTGAAATACAGTGTTTCACATCAAAAAGTGGCACCAACAACCTTCTAGTTTAATCTTAAGAAGGAACTGTGCAAACATATGTACTTATTTTCTGAGATGCAGAGATTAGGAAATGTTCTGATGGCTCTAATGTACACAAACAAATCAGTACACAAAGAGAGACAGATTAAGAGGGCAACTCCAAAAAGAATAACAAGGACCACGTGCTTATGTTGGCTGTTTTGCTTGTAAGGACATTTTTAACTCCATTTAGAAACTTCTCCCTCTCTCTTTTTGAATAAGCACATGTGGGACGTTAAAGAGAAGTCTCGGTTAGCAGGATCCAGTTTGTAAAGGAGCTATTGGCAAACAGATTTCAGAGACTATATTATTCTTACGAGTCACTTTGTCTGCTGCAAAATTATTCCAATGAAAAGATTTTTTTCCGAGGTGAAGCACAATCAAGCTTGACCTCCTTTGCTTAAATTAAAATAGGAGTGAAATGAAGAATCTGACTCATTCCTCCAATTTTACAAGCTCAATAGTAATCTAGCCATGCTATTCACTTAGAGAAACCATTAATTTTGCTATGTGGCTGAAACTAGAAGGCCTCAGCTTTCTTTCTCTCACTTTTCCCCCCTCTTTTTGCTCTTTGTCTGTGCACCTGTTTGCACCACTTTACCATCCCATTAGAAAAACTTTGGGTAATCCTCTGGCACTAACCCTGGTGTGATAATACTTCTGTTATTCAGCAGCATAATTACAAAGGACGACACAGATAAAACATGTCTTTCACTTCTGCTGTGAATATGCCAGTTTTGCCAATCTTCAAGGTGAATGATTTCTAAAACCTTCTGTATTTAATGCTAATCTAAATTCTTCACACAATGAAACTTCCAGCACCTTAGACAGGGAAAAATAGTTACTTCTAACTCTCTTAACAGCAGCACCTTCTGTGCCAGGGTCTGTCTCCAAAACACTTTATGAACTTTGATGAATGGATCTTCTCAGACAAAGTTTAGCGTTAGATTTTGCTTTGACAAGGAGAAGCTCAGGCAGAGGGAAGCTAAAAGCTCAGGGCTAAGTAACAAGCCAGTGGCAAAGGCAGGAACCAAATCTTTAACTGCTGCATCATAATCCTTTGGGCCTGGATAACATTACTAAAATCTACTAGATAGGTGGGTTTTTTCAGTATTTTTGGGGGGGAGGGACTTTAACTAACACATCTTCCAGCTGCAAGCATATATGCTATCCACTAAATGTGAGGAAAGAGCAACAAAACATTATTTATCACTTAGACCCCTGAAAGAGGAAAGAGAAAGTCAGCATCTTGCCAGCCCTTTTCCCCTCCCCCTTCTGCCCTCATCAGGCAGGGCCAAGCTTTGCTCCATTTAGTGTCTCATACCAGGGAGGGACTCTATCGGTTGGCATCAATGAGGACAGTCCTAGCAGCTCGAGCCTCTCCTGATGAACTCCGGCCTGGCAGTCGCTTTTGTTAAACCCAAAGAAGCATCTGCTTGAGTGTCTTATGTGGGTGCCATGGCTGAAAAATGACCCAAAGAAGAAATCTAATTCAAATAGGTACCCTTCAAATCATTTGGAGCTTTTCTGGTCAAAAAGTAATACATTAAACCTGCATGAGGCTGCATGCAGGGTAAGGACAGCATAGAAGAAAATGCTCAGCAGAGGCCAGGCTGTTGGTGCCCGGAGAGAACTGCAGATCATGGAAGCCAGTGCGGTTTTACTGACTGTTTCCCTTACAGCCACAAGAGAAATTCCCAATGCGCTTTGAACCAGCTACCTCTGGTACCAGCCACAGGCTGGCAGCAGCAATAGGGAGCTTGTGGGAGGCTGTAAAACGAGATAAATTACCCTCTGCTCTCTTTTCAAAAGCCTAAACAAATCTTCTCAGTTTAGAACCAGTATTTCTCCACCATGTTCACATCACCACAGCATAGACAAATGCTGTTCCCTTACGTTCCTCTGGCTTGTTGTGTTCTTCTTCTTAGACTGTTAATCTACTCGGGATAAGACAACTGCCCTAGACCCATGCTTAGCTCTGAGCTCACGGCTAGATGTGGTAGTTATACAATGATGATAACAGTAGCAAACTTGGCATGTAAAACAAATGGCCTCCACTCTTCGGGTGATGAGTTTATCTGAAGACATCACACTCTCTTGGTTCAAGAGCACCTAGCAGAAGCTTAGGACTGAATACTCCTTCTTTGCGGGCTAAAACCTTCCCACTGAATCACAAATAATGAGCGCACAGCCTCAGTGCAGTGGACAGAGGTAACCTTTGTTGACTTTTCTGGCCGTTTTCCCCAGCCATACCAACATACTGTTGTTTTGCTTACATCCAAATGTAGCCACGTGCTTCTCATCCCTGCCGAGGTCTCTCTCAAACTTGATAGATAACAAAAGATGCAATATCCAGCAGCACTGACTAGAGTTAATGAATCTGAGATTGAGAACTGCCACCAGGAGAGCTCCTTGCCCCCTACTTATCCCATCTAACAACCTCACTGACACACTGAACCAAAGAGGTGACAGGATGGAGCCACAGAGGATTCCCAAGGACAGCATAAGCAGAACAAGAGCCAGCACAACACAGTATCTGGTCATCTCTGAGACAGAAGAATAAAGATATCTGTCAGTGACTGGAAGCCAGTCAGCCTCATTGTGTGGTCTTGGGCAGAGGCAAGTCAGAAAACAGCAGGGACAGGTTTTTGTCTCTCAGGATCATCTACCAAACCACTGGACTTTACTCAGCCCCCTAGAGAGACTGAACAAGATTTAAAGAAAACGAAGACACCTAGTTCCTCAGTCAGCTCTTCACACACTTTTCAACAATCTTCTTAGCCAAAAAGGGAAAATTGTTATACAGCAGTAATAATTGGCCACATCAACAACAAAAGGCAAGCTTTGCCTTGATACAGAGCGCACTCAGATTGGAAGGAAAAGATTAACCTCTCCAGCCAGAGGTTCTGCTCTTCACTATACAGACTGTCTCATAGCCTGTCCCAGCATCTCTTATTGCTCTGTGACAAAATCTAGCCTAAATCCAGCTATATGCAATGGAGAACTGATCTCTCTAGGTATTATAAAGAATATATAGAAACACACTGATCATTTCCAATTCAAATGATTTTCTGCCTGAGGAAATACAGCATTTCCTTACAATGACAGCTATTAGGCATTAGCTAGTCTGGTTTAACCAAGATGTCCAATGCCTAGTTTCAATCTGCTGATCAAGAATTCATGAAAGATTGGTGTGGGTGCAAAAAATAAATAAAAACCTTTTTTTCTTCCCATGCATCAACTGTAAATATTTAAACCATGCTTAGGAGCCTTTCACTTAGTGCTGATGTAACACTTCCATCTCTGGATTGTGACATTCTCTCCTCTGAATCAACAGTTACAAATCCTGCGTACACAATCTGAGCTGAAAGCTCAGAAGGTAGAAGAGCATAAACTTCATGGACATTGTAAAAAGTCTTCGCTACACCGATGCTTACAAAATAAAGAGGTTCCCTGGGGACCCTTTATTAAGAGCTGACAACAAAGTCTTCATATGGTAGTTCTCCTGAATAATAATCACTAGGGTGCTTCCCTAGAGGTCTCTGAGGTAACTCAAAAGTCATTAGTTGACCAAGATAGATAACCTGGAGGATTTGTGGCTGAGGCCACGGTCTTGAGTGACAGGCCCTTATCATAATAGGTAAAAAGTTCATTTGTCCCACTCACATTGACCATGTAATTGAGAATGAGTTTAACTGTCAAGACAACGGCTATCCAGGATTGCTACTCAATGTCCATGAAACCCTGTAATGCATCTAAAAAATATCTCAAAGGAAACACAAATAGCCTGGCTTCGTATCAGTTCAGTGAGGAACCTTCCGGGCTCAAGCAAGAATAACATCTTTTGAACAAAGAAGCAAACG